GTTCCGGATTAACCTTCGCTATAGCGAAACATCGCTGAACGGGACAGGGAAAGCCATTGGAACGCATTAAACATCGTTTAATGCGTTCCAAAAGGCTCCTTTACTCACCATTCAGCGAGGTTTCCTATGGCCGGCAGCCATTTTCGTGCCCTCGTTAAGCGAGGGGAGGGCGCAAAAACGCTGCGCGCGGCCATTACGGAGCTTCCGGCGGCCATTTTGTCCGCCGAACAGCTGATTGTCGGGCTTCGTTTTGCGAAGATCGGTAAGCGAAATGCTTACTGATCTTCGTAAAGTGATTTTCGCCCTATCTAAACGACGTTGAGCAATCGCATTAGCGATCCAAAAAAACGGATTGCTATGCGATTTTGTCGTTATACGGTGCGCTCGTTAAGCGAGGCACCACTGTAAGAATTTTTTTAAAAAAAACTGGATCTACCGTACACCTGTTAAGTGAGTGTGGTTTCTTTGGTTCAAATCAGTAATGAAACTCTATGGGGAAAAACTTTATGGAAAATGTGGAAGCTTTTTAAAAATAACAATACCCACTCCTGCGACTTTGGAAAACAGCTTCCAGTTGAAGCAGATCAGAGACAGGGGACGGAGTGGCCCCATAAGTAGTCGGGACTAGAACGGTCACCACCCATTGCCAATGCTGAAGGATAATGGGTGCTGTAATCCAGCAACCTCTGGAAGGCTGTACACTCCCCAAACCTGCAACAGAACTACTGGGTGAAAGAAAACCAAATAGGGAACATGAGCGTCAAACTTTTGGACTTTATTGGTAAAATCCATAGCTCAGTAGCTTTGGTCTCTTGAAAGTTAAATTCCTCACTGTGGCTTGTTGAGAGGGTCTGGATTCAGTGATCCATAGGGTCCCTTCCAGCTCTGCAATTCAAAGGTTATTATGATCTTGCCATGAACTTTTGGATTTTTAAACTAGTACAAAACTGAAGAAGAGGATTTTTCACCCACTGAAGCTCATGTATTGTATTATTTTTAAATGGTCTATAAAGGTATTGCCTATTTTTGCATTTGTATATCAATTTGTTTGGACCACACGCCTCCCCTTTATTTCAATGGAATTATGAGGATACCAAGAAATAGCCACAGACACACCCCATAAAAAGACACATGGACTCTCAACTTCAGTGGCGCAGGACTGCAACCACTAGGTAATATTATGATGACTTTAATCTGACTCAGTTGGTTAAACCTAATGAGTTTACTAAATTATCATCCCAATTACCAGATGGAGGACTCAGGTTTTCTATTTCACTCACCCTCTTGCCAAGGAGAAAAGTTTCAAAGGCCAAAGAAAATATCTGTGTGTACGTGGCCTGTGCTGTGTTTGGAGATCTGTAGGTTATACTCAATCCACAGCTGACTTAGCTGTAACCATAAAACAGGAACCACACTTACATCTAAGAAATATGTGCCTGGCAAAATTCATCTTGCCATGAAATTTTGGACAAGTTCTTCACAATGGTACAAGTTTGACAAAGTGGGTTTTTATAAATCTACGAAAGTTTGTGTATTGTATGATTATTTTTTAATCATCTATAAAAATGTCATTAATTTTTGCAGATCCACCCCAGGGGAAAAAATAAACAGTATTTGGGGTTCCCTGTGGACAAGGAGCAACATTTGATGGAAGCTCAGGAAGGCGCAAACAAATCCAGTCCATGCAAACAAAGTCTTTAATGAAATAAGGTGAAGAGAACAGGCAATGAACGCAAAGAAAGATGCAGAAGACAACAGAGATGTGAATTTCACTGGAAATACTGCTTTGGCACTGAAAAACTCCCAGGGTGAATGCAAGTCGTTTCCGTTTTCTTTAAAGTGTGCATTATAAATAAGGCAAAAAAAAATAATTCAAGACCCCCTTTCCCCAAAATCTGGAGTATAATACATAAAAAGCACCTTTTCAATCTTAGTTTATTAAGAGAAACAACCATACCATGCAGGAAACAGAAGTTTTTTTTTAAAAAGTACTATTTATTCCTATGCGGGTTAGATAGCTCAGAGGATTATGGATCTGGCTGCAGAGCTAGAGGTTGGGAGTTCGATTCCCCCACTGGGCTCCTGGGAGAAGAGCCAGCCTGGGTAGCCTTGGGCAAGATGTACAGTCCCAGAGTGCCCAAAGAAGAAGGGAATGGTAAAACTGGAAAGGTTCATCATCAGTCACAATCAACTTGACAACACCATTATTAGCCTAAGAGGAGGGCCAAATCTGATTGCCATAAGCAGGGCCCAGATCCATGCCTGGACTTTGTAACTTCACACTTCCCCACTCCAGCCAACCTGGATGGTCACAAGTCTCTAGATACAATGGTTCCCAACCTTGGGTCCCCAGAGATTCTTGGACTAAAACTCCCAGAAGCCTTCACCACTTCCTGTACTGGCCAGGATTTCTGGAAGCTAGAAATCCTGGCCAGCACAGAGGATGAGATGGTTGGACAGTGTCTGCGAAGCGACCAACATGAATTTGACCCAACTCCAGGAGCCAGTAGAAGACAGGAGGGCCTGGTCCATGGGGTCACGAAGAGTCAGACACGACTTAAAGACTAAACAACAACAATAATCCAAGAACATCTGGGGTTGTTTGGGAACTACGCTTCCCAAGCTTGGGAACCACTGTGTGTACTCCAACATGACCCAAAGACATACTTGACCCACCATAGCTCTAAGACTATAAGATTCAATCCTCCCTGGACCTCTCCATCTCAGGAATCCCCCACTCTGGTCAGCTTGGATCGCTTTCCCAGGGTCCTGGACCCCCTTTTCTGTGCTTGTTTTTCATAACGTGAAATGTCATAATGGGATATTTGCCTCCTCCAGGCCCTTCATGCAGAAGAACATGAGAAGAGTTTTGCTGGATCGGACCAAAGGCCCCATCTATTTTAGCATCCTGTTAAAACAATGCAGAGAGCCCTCTGCCTTGCAGCTGCTAGGATACACAGATATACTGCCTTTGGAACTGGAGGTCTGATACCCACCCAAGCTGACCGGCCATCACTACTTCTGGGGGTGGGTGGGTCAAGAATCCTAGTTTTTACTGCATTGTATACAAAATTCTTCCTTTTGTCTACAATAATTCTACCATGATCCAGTTCCCGTAGTAACCACAGGTTTCATGACTATAAATAAAGAAGGATGAGAGGAATTGATTTGTGGTAATTCTCCTCATCATTTCGCAGGATAACTCCATGTTTCCTGAGCAAGGGACAATAAACTGATTTCAAGAAATCAACTGACATAGAATCACAGAATAATTGAGTTGGAAGGGGCCAACAAGGCCGAAGAGTCCAACCCCGTGCCCAATGCAGGAATCCAATTCAAAGCAGATCTGACAGAGGGTAGTCCGGTTTTCTCTTCATTGCCTCCAGTGCTGGAGCACTCATCACCTCCTGAGGTCAGGGAGTCCATTGTCGTACTGCTCTAACACTTAAGAACATTTTACTGATTTTCAGTCTGAATCTGGCTTCATTTAACTCGAGTACATTATTCTGTGTCCTGCACTCCGGGGCAACCCAGAACAGATCCTGCCTCTCCTATATAGACCTGCTTTCAAATCTTTGAAAAGTGCTCCCCTATCTCCCCTCAGTCTTCTTTTTTCAAGGCTAAACATGCCCAGTTTTCACAATCTTTCTTCATAGGGCTTGGTTTCCAGACCGCTGATCATCCTTGTGGCCCTCCTCTGAATTTGTTCCAGTTTGTTCTTTCATCCTCAGGTTTATCATTTAAGCCCAAACTTAAATCATACTACATTTTTTGAACCACCGCTAACGGCTGGGTCCTTTCATTATACTCCGAGAACAAATAAATGGTTCTATTCAGGCAGCCTCCATTTTCCAATCTGCCTCTTCACCATACTCCTTGTTATTTATGGCAATCCAAGCAAATACTAGAGCTGTACCTGACTCCTGACATATTGCAAACATATTTGGGAAGAGTCTAGGATGGTGGTGCTTTTTTGAAATATCAAAAAAAGGGACACAGGACAAAAACTTCAAGGAGCCAAGATTTAATGCAAACGAATATGCAGCCTAATGGGCGAAGCTGATACCAAGCTGGCCAGGTTTTCACAACACCTCTGCAGAATCTCACTCTCACCTAGACGGATATGTACATGACACAGACTCTTTTAACTGGGAAACCTCTTTGACTAAGAACCAGCATGGGTTAAAAACAGTGGCTGGGGAGAAATAGTCTCCTGGTTTCAAAGGGAGCCGAAACTCACAAGAGGAAATAAAAAAATCACTCCCTTTGTTACTCGGATGCTTTTGAACTGCAACTCCCAGAAACCCCAGTCAGTACAGCTGGTGGTGAAGGCTTCTTGGATTGCAGTCCAATAACATCTGGGTTACCCAAGGTTAAAAATCCCTGAGCCAGGAACTTATTAATAGGTGCAGAAATATAAAGAAAGGATATGGGTACTGCCTCGAGAGCACCTCCAGTAGATAACATGAACACCAACTAGGTTTTTAAGAAAATCCTCCGCTCACACCAATGAGGTGAACATTGACTAACGATGGTGTTGTTCCCCAGTCAAACCTAGGTCATTTTCTTAATTGTTGCTGTTGAATAGACCATCCTGGACTTTGAGTGAAGGCATGGCAGGAGCATATATTGCAGCACAGTCCTGATTCAAAAACAAGCTGACTCTAGTCTAGGAGGTTTCCAGAAAATCTCTTTATGCTAGCAGAAATATAATAGCTATATGAGTTGCTCTAGGATGAATCTTCTTGCTGTATTTCTCTGTGTCTGAACCCTCCAGCTTATCCCTGCCAAGCCTTGTAGTGCCAACTTTATTTCACACTCTTAGTCCCACCAGAATCCAGGATTCAGCTAGGGAATCCTGCTAGCCTATGTTGCTCTCCTGAATTCCTGATTTCTGGCTTGAGATCTCTGTTCCCCTGTTCTTTCTTCTCATATTTTTCTGGCTGGACTTCCAAACTTCTTTGGCTCCAAGATGGTCTAATGAGACTAAGATTTGTCTTTGGGGAATATCTTCCCCACACCTGGGGGCTTAATCCAATCTCCTTCCCCCCTTGCTTTCTTTGTGTGGCTTGTGGGAAAATACATATTTCCTTTTCTCTCCTCATTCTTGTAGCACTTCTGCAAATAGTTGGCTCACAAGGAGCTTGAATCTCAGAACCCTCTTAGCCAAGCGAGTTTGCCTCTTTTGAATCTGTACTTCCTCGTATTGTATATTTTCCTGTAAATCTTTGCTATACAGTAGGACTCCCTTATCCACAGAATCAGTATCCGCTGATCCACTTATTCATGGTCTGAAAATATTAAACATAAAAAAAAGAAAAATCCTACAAATATACATTTCTAAAGATGAAGTTACCCAGAACTGGCTACTAGAGGGAGCCAGAGACCATGCTGTGTAGTATAGCATTTGCTAGAGAAATAGATTTCCATTATATTAGTACAAACACTGGTCACTAGAGGGAGCCAGAGACTACACTGTGGATAGCAGAAAATTTCTGTACGCATCCTTCAGTCTCAAGATACTATGGTAACATGCTCTGAATAGAGGTTTTGGAACAGCATCAAGTGTGGCTGAGAAAGCCAATTCGAGAGTGACAATCCTTCCACACTGAAGACAAATTAAATTTGCTCCAGCTCCCTGATTTTGCTGCTTTCGTAACTGCCTCTTTGCCTCGGCCTGCTGGACAAGTGTCTCTTCAAATTGGGAGAGGCTGTCATGCACTGCCTGCCTCCAGGCTGAAGGCACAGATGTCAAGTTTTCCCATCTGTTATGGGGGGTTCTATTGTATTTTAATTATTTTGTGTTTGTGAGAAGAGGGAGAGGAACAATCCCATCCTCCCATGGAAAGTAGAGGAAACACAGTCCACCAAGGTAGTGGGGGGGAGGAAGCAGAAAAGGAAATGCCCTCTGTTGGAGCAGATGGTGTACAGAAAAGGAAAAAGGCAGGGGGAAAAGGGAGAGGGGTAAGACGAAAGAAGGATGGATATATACAGTGGTACAGTTGTGCCTCGCTTAACGATGATAATCCATTCCAGGAAAATCGCTGTTAAGTGAAAACATCGTAAAGCGAAATTAAAATCCCCATTGAAAACCATTCAATGCGTTCCAATGGGGTAAAAACTCACTGTCCAGCGAAGATCGTCCATACGGCGGCCATTTTCGCTGCCTGTATAGCAATGAATCCATCCCTAAGCACAGCGGGGAGCCATTTTAAGCGCCCGGCGGTCATTTCGAAAACCCGACAATCAGCTGTTTTTGATCATCGTAAAGCGAAAATCAGTTCCCAAAACAGGGAACCGATCATCGCTAAGCGAAATTCCCCCATTTAACCATTGTTTTGCGATCCTAATTGCGATCACAAAAAGCTCATTGTAAAGCGGATTCATCGTAATGCAGGGCAATCGTAAAGCGGGGCACAACTGTACCTCGATTTACGAACTTAATCCATATTGAAATGGTGTTCATACATCGAAAAGTTCGTAAGTCGAGGCAAACTTTTCCATAGGAATGCATTGAAAACCATTTATTCCGTTCAGGCTTTTTTCCGTTCGTATGTCGAGGCGCTGTTCGTAGGTAGAGGCATTCATTCCCATAGGAACTAATGTAAATCCAGTTAATCCGTACTCTACCACTAGGGGGTGATTTCTTTATTTTTTTCTTCTTTTGACCTAATATGAACTTAGGTCAAAAAAGGGCAGGAAAGTTTTTTTTTCTTTTTTTCGTTCGTTAAGTCGAGGCTCCGTTCACAAGTCGGAGCAAATTTTTGTGAACGGAGTCATTTGTAACTCGAATCGTTCGCAAGTAGGGAAGTTCGTAAGTCAAGGTTCCACTGTACAAGGAAGAGAAATAAATAGGGGCAGAAAGAGAAGGGAAGACTACAGAAATAAAAGCTGGTATAGGAGAAGTCAAGAAAAGAGGAGCGTGTTTTACCTGAAGGATGGAAAACCCCATGGATGCAGATGTTACGCAGAGAGGAAGTCAAGAAAAAAAAGGAATTACTGCCCCCTTCTTCAGGAAGCCATCGTATTGTGGACAGTGGGAAAAGAGGGACTGGAACAGGAAAATAAAAGAAGAAATGACCTCACAGAGGCACAGAGGAAGAGAGAGGGCAGAATGGAGAACCTCTCACCCAACTGCGGTCAACCACCCACCAGGTGGTGAGGAGCTACATCTCAGGAATGAAAGACCCAGAAGGGAGACAGTGTGGGGTAGAGTCAACGCACTTCACCTGCCATTGCTTGGGGACCCACATGAGACATTAAACCAGAATTATCTCAAACTTGGAGAAAGGGGACATTTCAGGGAATAAGACAAGCCTTTCCTTGCTCCCATTGGAAAGAGAAGAGAAGAATTGAATCGTTCGAAGGTGTTGATGCCAAGCAGTTTTACAGTAAAAGTTATTGGTTTGAAGCAAGAAACAGAATGGGGTTTCTGTCCATGGGAGAAGAATATGGGGAGCTGAGGCTGAACTTTCACAGTATTCAATACAATTCCCCCTTGTGAATAGTTGTGTGTGTGAGAGAGATCTACTCAGCCCAATCTGTGTCAAGATGCACTATTGCCGTGGTTCAAGGCTCCTTCATGGGTGTGTCTCCGAACACATTCACACATGTGATCTGAGAGTGTACCTGGTAACAAAATCCACCTTCTCAGCATCCGTTGAACAGCTGCCTTGCTGTGAATGCAGAAAAAGTCTGCTCTGAACTGTCCAAGGACCCATGGACTTCACAGGGTCTCCTACAGCTATGGCCGAAAAGCGAAATTAACCGTGGTTTTGCATGGTTCAATGCGTCCCCCTGTAAAAAGGGGGCTGTGGAACCAGAAGGAAAGAAGGAAGGATGAAAGAAGTAAATCGCTAGAGCACCTTTTGTACAGAGAAAAACAATTATTCTGACGTTCTTAGTGTTGAGGGGGAGGAAAGGGAAAAAGAAGGTGAGAAGAATGTAAGAGACCTCCGAAATTATAAACTCAGAGGATGCACCCTAACCCTACTTCATTAGAGGGACCAATATATTTCCCTCTCCATTATCTCTACAGTATATGATTATATCTCCCACCTATATATTAAGCACTTGCAAAGCTCAGCCTATGGAAAAATATCTACGTTATTCTCAACTATGAGGATCCTTTGATGACGTCCTGCCCAGAGGTCTCTGCACGCTCCTCAAACTTCTGCAGCGTCTCTTTCTACGGGTTCGTCTGTAAGAATCTGGCTGCGCAGCGAGAGGTCGGGATTTCGATTCCTCCACTGTGCCTCCTGGACAGTGATCCACAGGGTCCCTTCCATCTTGGCAGTTCTAAGTTAAGTGAGGTTTGCACATTGACTGGAGTACGTGTCCACATGCCGAAGACGTACAAAGTTCCTCCCCAGTGGAGATTCTCATCTGAGGGGCAAGGACTGTGCTGTGACTGAAGCTCTTTCCACGTTCCAAGGTGCAAATGGTTTCTCCCCAGTGGGGATTCTCGTGAGAGAGCAAGGTGTGTCCTCTGACTGAAACACTTCCCAAAACTCCAAACACTTAAAACATTTTATCTCCTCTGTATGAATTTGTCACGTGAGAATAAAAGCTTGCACCTGGATGGAAAGTCTTCTCACGTGGCAAGCTTTTAAAAGGTTTCTTCACTATACGAATTCTCGTACGAGAACGAAGGCTGGGTCCATGTCTGAAGTGCCTCCCACATGCCAGTAAACGGTTTGTCCCCTGTGTGGACTCTCTGATGGCGACTTAGGTTGCTCCGATCCAGGAAGCTCTTTCCGCATTCCAAGCAGGGGAACGGCTTGTCCTCAAGGTGGATCCTCATATGGGAAGCCAGGTTTGTGCTGTGAGGGAAGCACTTCCCACACTCCGAGCACTCGAACGGTTTGTCCGCGGAGTGGATTCGTCGATGGGAATTCAGCCGGCTTCTCTTATGGAAGCACTTTCCACATTCTAAGCATTCAAAGGGTTTCTCCCCTGTGTGGATTTTTTCATGGGAACTCAGAGTGCTTCGGTCACTGAAGCTCTTCCCGCATTCCAAGCACATGAAGGGTTTCTCTCCTGTGTGGATTCTTATATGGGCAGCAAGGTAGCTTCTCCGACTGAAGCTCTTCCCACATTCTGGGCATGTATACGGTTTGTCCCCAGTGTGGATACTCATGTGACGTGCAAGGCTTGGGTGGTGACTGAACCTTTTCCCGCACTCTGAGCACTCAAAGGGTTTCTCCCCCGTGTGGATTCTTTGGTGGGACGTAAGGGTGCTTCTATCACTGAAGCTCTTCCCGCATTCGAAGCAGGTAAAGGGCTTCTCCCCGGTGTGGATCCTCATGTGGGATGCGAGGTATCTGCTCTGACTGAAGCTCTTTCCACACTCCGAGCAGGTAAACGGCTTCTCCCCCGTGTGGATACTCATGTGGCGCACGAGGCTCGGGTTGTGACTGAACCTCTTCCCACATTCCGGGCATTCAAAGGGTTTCTCCCCTGTGTGGATTCTCATATGGATGGCAAGTTTTGTGCTCTGACTGAAGTCCTTCCCACATTCCATGCATTCGAAGGGTTTCTTTCCCGCATGGACTCTGTGGTGGAAATTCAGACTTCCGCTGTGACTGAAGCACTCGCCACATTCCAAGCATTCAAACGGCTTCTCCCACGTATGGATTCTTTCATGGGAAGTAAGGGTGCTTCTGTCATAAAAGCTTTTTTCACAGACCAAGCATTTGAACTGTTTCTCCTCAGTTTGAATTCCCCCAGGCAAAATCAGGTCTGTGCTCTGGCTGATGCTGTTTTCACAGTCCACATATATAAAAGGTCCCTCTTCTCTTTGCATGGCCAGATCTCTTTCCGAGGATGAAGCATCACAGAAATCTTCATTGTATTCTGAGCACTCAATCATTTTCCTCTCATGGTGGATCTCCCAGGGAGCATTCACACTGGTCTGATAGTTGAAGGTTTCCTTGGGCGCAGAGTACTCGTGTCTTTCTTTGTTTCGGACTATTTCTCCTTGGAGAGAGATTTCACGGAAAGCTCCAGGAAACCTCTCTTCTTCGGTTCTGCTCCTTCTCCTCTCCTCTTCCCCCTCCTCCAAGCACACATCAAGCGGTTCTTCCTCGGACCCGCTCTCTCCCACTCCAGGAGCTGAAAGAGGAAACCCCAACATAGTCTGCCCATGCTGAAAATGGTAAAAGGGAGCCCCAAATCAGGGAGCACCACCCAATGAACCGTTAAGTCAGAGGTCAGGGAACTTTTTTACCTTTTACCCCCCCCAAAAAAAAAAAATTATATACTGTATGCCGACATTACCCCCTTGATTTGAAAGGAAGGAAATCATACATTATTTGAATTCAAAATATTGAATCTACACAGGCTGTGTACTGAACTAGCAGCATATACCATAAGTATCAATGGCTGCCAGGCTATATACCAAACTAGCAGGATGCACCAAATTTAATAAAGATGTGCACTATTTTTGCTGGAACACATTAGACTCCAGCCATGGGGTGGTATAGGGAGTAGTAAGGTGTCCAACGTGCCTAGCAAGTTGCATTAAGTTTTTGCTAGCTCGCAGAGGATTTAATCATCATTAATGGCTTCCAGAGTGGTGCTAGCAATGACATGCTTGCTAGAGACAGCCAACACAGAGCTGGGGGGGGGCGTTTCCTACCACTTTAATCATTCTGTGTAGTGTGCAAAAAGGAACAAACCAGGCTAAAGGTCATGTCACCCACCCTGGTGCCACAGCCCAATATCAAAGACCAGTGCACTATTTTTTATCATCATCAATGGAAAACTCAGCAGTGGCCAGAGGACTGGAAAAGATCGGTCTACATCCCAATCCCAAAGAAGGGATATGCCAAAGAATGTTCCAACTACTGTACAATTGCACTCATTTCAAACACTAGCAAGGTTATGCTCAAAATCCTACACGGTAGGCTCTGCCCGTTACCCCCAGGATTTTCATTTTTCCCCATTTGGGGTAATTTACCCCTGTTCCCAGACCACTGCGTTAAGTGAACATTTTATCACCTGCAGGATGCTTTTGGTTCTCCACTCACGCCTTTGACGGCAAACAAAGGATGCTGCTCAAAAGCTATGCATTTTTAATTTTAGCTTTTGATGTTATGCTACTTGTAAATGGGTTTCATCAATTCAAAGCAAAAAAAGCAAAGCATCCTGCTTATATGCTGCCTCATAGTGCTTAAAGCACTTGCTGAGTGGTCTGTAACTGAATTATGCAGGCTATACGTTTCCCGCCTCCCCCTCACAATGAGCTCAGATGGATGGAAGGCTGAGTCAGCCTTGAGCCAGTTACCTCAGCCTGTCACAACTGAACTCAGGTTGTGAGCAGAGGCTTGACTGCAGTACTGCAATTTAACCAGTGTATCACAAGGCTCCTTCCGTTTTACGGCACAACCATTAACACGAACACCTTTATTTCTACGAGATCTTTCATGGTTACAGTCTGTTTCTCCGGCCACATACTCATGACATTTGCTAATCTGGAAGGCCCTCCAACACGTCCGCTTTGCTCATATTTTTGCTTTGTTTTGGGTTTTCTTCGTGTAGAAAGAGGATAGCTACAGCTACTTCTCCAAAAACCACGGAACATAAAAGAAAGCTTACTCAGAAACACCATGGTGGCCACATTCTCCTCCATGACTTCCCGGTGCAGAGCCCTCTGGCCCGGATCCAGCAGCGCCCACTCCTCCTCCGAGAAATAGACAGCGATGTCCTCAAAGGCTACTGGACCCTGGAATCAAAGAAAGCTCCTTATCCTTGCAGGTGTCCATTTTTTTTCTACCTTTTGTAAAGAACATTCCAGAAGAGAACAATGTTGACAATGATCAGACTCAATCAATGTCTTCTTGCAGTTGTTCAGCCTTTCTAAAGTACAGTCCAGCAAAGAATGACACCGAGCACTGGATTCATCCTTTAACGTCATCATCTCAGCCTTCCTTGTTTGATAAAAACAAGTCAACCAGGCAAGCACCTTTGGAGTCCAGGGAACTGAAGACCCGGGTGATCTCCTCCCCTCCTCATCTCCCCATCTATTTTCCCCCATCCATTTTCCCCCTACCTGTTCCGGCCACAGAGATGCCGTCTCCATTTCTCCACAAAGAGACGAGGGAGGGCCTGTCCTCAGCGTGTTTCCAGTGCCTGCAAGGGGTACCAAGGTGGTGGGAAAAGCTTTATTCTCCATTTTTACCTTTCCTTGTGTGAAAGGAAAGCATCATTCCACGTTTTGACTCGCAAACAAACACAGCAACGGGCGTCATCAAGAAAGGGGAACCCAAGATAAATTCAACGGCCGGTTTCTTACCTGCTAAGGTAGCTGCTCTTCTCTTCTCTTGTGCCTCCTTCAGGAGCAGAGGCCTCCGGCTTGGGTCTGACAGAGAATCTGCTGCCTGAGGGAAGCCAGAAGAGAATAGTAAAATCTCCTGCGCCCCAAACACTATTTGGACAATACACACAGGAATGGAAAATGGAATCAAAGGAGTGGTACAAGAAAGGGTGTCAGATTTAGAAAGAAATGGGACTCCTGTGTTTGAAACAAAATTTGGACACCCAAAAGTGGATTAGGGAGCAGAAATAAAATACAGTGGTGCCGCACTTCACGAGGATAATCCGTTCCAGCAAAATCGCTGTAAAACGAAATCGTCGTCAAGTGAAAGCAAAAATCCCATTGAAATGGTGCAATGCATTCCAATGGGCGAAATACCTCAGCGTCCAGCGAAAATCCTCCATAGGGCGGCCATTTTCCTGTGCCTGTAAAGCGAGGAATCCATCCTAAAACACAGCAGGGAGCCATTTTACACAGCAGGGAGCCATTTTGAAAGCCCAACGATCAGCTGCTTTGATCGTTGTTAAACAAAAAATTGGTTTCCGAAGCAAGGAACCGATCATCGTGAAACGATTTTTCCCTATTAAAACATCATTTTGCGATTGCTAAAGCTTCATCGTTAAGCGATTTCCTCGTCTAATGAGGTAATCATTAAGCGGGGCACCACTGTATAATGATGTAGGAAAGGGAACGTGCTTTGGTAGATTTCCACAAAGGCGCAGGCACTTTCTCAGATGTTCAAGAAAACCGGGAATCTCACCAGCTGCTCCTCCTGCTTTTTATCCACTCTCTGGCTCAGGAGGAAACCTTCCGCCAGGGATACAGCCTGGGAAGTGGATTCCGGTCCACATTCTCTGACCCAGCTCCCCATTTCAGATGGAAGGACCATCAGGAACTGTTCAAGGATCACCAAGTCCAACATCTCCGCCTTGGTGTGTTTCTCTGGCCTCAGCCACTGGCAGCAGAGATGATGAAGCTGACTACAAACCGCCCGGGGCCCTTCATCCTCCTGGTAGCAGAAGTCCCGGAAATGCTGACGCTGGACTTCTGGGCTGAGATTGTCCTCATCTGGTTTATTCTGTGCGGTTCCTTCTTCTGGGAATTCCTCATCGCTCCAAACCTCCATGTCAACCGACTGCCTCCCAGTTTCAGACCCAAAAGAGTCTTCCATTTTCATCTCTTCCAGAATGGAAGGAATGGAAAAGAATGGGTTTCCTTTTCTTCGGACAACAGATGGACAAACGCAAATGCCTACGGGAAAGAGAAGACTTATAATAATACAATAATAAGCTTAGAATAATAAGCTTAGGGACGTGGTGGCGATGTGGGCTAAACCACAGAAGCCTCTGTGCTGCAGGGTCAGAGGACCAGCAGTCGTAAGATCGAATCCATGTGACGGAGTGAGCTCCCGTCGCTTGTCCCAGCTCCTCGCCAACCTAGCAGTTCGAAAGCATACAAATGCGAGTAATAAACAGGTACCACCTCGGTGGGAAGATAAAACAGCATTCCCTAGTCACGCTGGCCACGTGGCAATGGAAACTGTCTTCGGACAAGCGCTGGCTCTACGGCTTGAAAACAGGATGAGCGCCGCCCCCTAGAGTCAGACACGACTGGACTAAGAATGTCAAGGGGAAACTTTACCTTTTTAAGCTTAATATTGCAGAACTGGAAGAGACCTTATGGGTCATTGAATCCAGCCCCTGTCCAAGAGGGACAACATGGGGAATCGAACTCCCGACTAAACCACTGAGCTATCCAGGAGTTCTTGGGAAGTTCAGCCATCCTTAAGGCCCCAATCAAAGAATGCTTCTGGTTGGTGGTCACAAGATAAAACTTGACTGCTAGGACTCTTGTCCCCAACATCTCCTGACCTCTCTACACACCCTCCCTGCCTATTTTTAGGACTCTGCATCCCTTAGCTCTCCCTTGACCCTTGCTACCAGGAAGTACTTTCTCATTAATACATACTCACTTTAAAAACAGAAAATGCTTGAGAGAAAGGCTCTCACACCCAGGGACGAAGGAGACACTTTTGTCTGGTCTGTACCACCCAGGATTTCCCACACTGCGCCACCAGGGTTTCTTCTGAATAGAAAATAAAGGTTGTCCAATGTCTCTTCAAATCTTGGCCAGCCAGATAAAAAAAACCCAGACCTCCAGGTGAAAATGAACAGATGATGGATTTGAGTCAGTGCATCAGCCTGGAAGAAACAGAAATAGTGGGGAAAGAGGAAGACTTAACACACAGTGGGTTGACTCAGTAAGGGAAGCCACCATTGTTAGTTTGCAAGACGCGAGCACAACTCACTGGAAAAGACAATATTGCTAAGGAGGGAAGCAGCAGGAAGAGAGAACGACCTAACATGACATGCATTTTAAACAGTGCCTCCCAACCTTGGGTCCCCCCAGATGTTCTTGGACTACAATTCCCAGAAATCCCAGCTAGCACAGTCAGCGGTGAAGGCTTCCAGGAGTTTTAGTTCAAGAACATCTGGGGGACCCCAGGTTGGAAACCACAGCTCTATATCTTTCTCTCTCTTGGGAAATGTGTACAGACAAGCGCATGGAAGGGACCCCCTTATCTCCAGGAAGCCCCTCATGGCTTCTTTGGCCCAAGGCAGGTAACACACTGAGGTGGGACAGGCAAGGTGGGCCCCAGCCAGAGATCCCAGCCACACTGTGATCTCTGGAGGGAAGGGACCAGAATCTACTCTTTCAAAACATTTGTCTACTCACTGTTCTTAGCTTTTAAATACGGTGGTGCCTCGCATAACGAGCGCACCGTTTAACGACAAATCCGCATTTAGCTTTTAAATACAGCGGTGCCTCGCATAACGAGCGCACCGTTTAACGACAAATCCGCATAGCGATTTGTTTTTTGCGATCGTTTTTACATTCGCATTGCGATGTTTAGATAGGCTAAACACGACGACTCTGCATAGCGATTCGTTTTTTGCTATCGTTTTTACGATCGCATTGCAATGTTTAGATAGGCTAAATATCGCACTGCGATGATCGGTAAGCGTTTCGCTTACCGATCTTCGCATTGCGATGTTTAGAAAATAGCTGATTGGCGGTTCCAAAATGGCCGCCGGGTGCACAAAATGGCCGCCCACAGTGTTTTCGCGCGCTGCCCTCGCTTACCGAGGCGGCGAAAATGGCAGCGCTACAGAGGATCTTCGCTCAATGGTGAATTTTCACCCCATAGGAACGCATTAAACGGAGTTTAATACATTCCTATGGGGTTCCCCCCCGCATAGTGATGTCTCCGGATAGTGACGTTAATCCTGGAACGGATTAACGTCGCTATGAGGGGCACCACTGTAGTGTCTTTTAATTGTAGTAAGCCACCTTGAGTCCTAATTGTAGTAAGCCACCTTGAGTCCTAGGAGAAAGGCGGGGTGAAAATATTTCAAATAAGTAAGTAAATAAATACTTAATTAACTGCCTCACTAGTTCGGATAGCAACCCGGAGGTGAGAAAAATAGATACTTTGCAGCAACGCCAGAGATTGGTTCAGCTGTTCTCAGTACAGTGGTGCCTCGCTAGACGATGATAATCCATTCCATGAAACTGCTGTGGTAGGGCAACGCCAGAGATTGGTTCAGCTGTTCCCAGTACAGTGGTGCCTCGCTAGACGATGATAATCCATTCCATGAAACTGCTGTTTAGCGAAATCATTGTCTAGTGAAAAGCATTTCCCTATTGGAATGCATTGAAATCTGTTTAATGCATTCCAATGGGGAAGAATTGTCGTTGTCTAGCGAAGATCGGCCATAGGAAAGCCACTTTGCGAACCACCGATCAGTTGTAAATAGCTGTCTTGTGAAGCTTAGGTCCCGAAAACACCCGTTTTGTGAGCGTGGAGGGAGCTGTCAAAATCGTCTAGCGAAAATTGGTTTGCGAAGCAGAGACCAAACATTGTCCAGCGAAATTCCCCCATAGGAATCACTGTTTTGTGAATTGCTATCGCTATCGCAAAAAGTCAATGTCTAGCGAAAAAAAGAGGCACTACTGTACTGTAGATCCTTCATCCCATGCAGTTCTAGCGAGGCACCACTGTACTGTAGATCCTTCATCCCATGCAGTTGCACCCACGCTATGCATGATGTAGTTGGTGAGCTTTTCCAGGTCCATGAGTTCTCTCCTGAGCCCCAATTCCCAACATTTTGGTACATTCACACTGCACAAAAATACAACATCCACAGACATGCATGGTTGGGCGAGCTGGGCAAGGCTGGAGCTCAAGTCACCACCCTTTACACCCATGTTACATCAGACAACATTTTCCCCCTTGCAGGATGGCCGACCCCGAGCTTTCCCTCCCTGCTAGCACCCAGGGGGCCTCGGCACCTGGAGAGGTACCAACATTTATCCCTTAAAACTGCAACCTGATTCGAGCAGGAAAAATCAGTTCAATACTTGCCTTCTACTCTATATCGCACACATAATGAAAGTACAGAACTGTCTGGAAAATACAATATTGCTGGGAAAAGAATGGGCAGTAGGGAAAGAGGAAGACTTAACACACGATGGGTTGACTCAATAAGGGAACCACTACTTTTCATTTGCAGGACTTGAGCACAACTTACTGGAAAAGACAATTTAAGGAGGGAAGCAGCAGGAAGAGAGAATGACCTAACACGCGAGGCTGTTGGTTTGCAAGATCTGAGCAGAGCTGTTAAAGACAAGACATTTTTGGAAATCAGTAACTCATATAATCAGAAGTGACTTTATTGATCATTTTGTTTTATTTATTTTATTTATAGGCTGCCTTTTCCTTATAAGGGGACCCAAGGGGGCTCACAATATTAAAAAGTATAGAATTAAAATCATAAGTTAAATGTTAAAAAACAATTAAATACACGCTAGTTAAAATACAATGGAATAATTAAAAGCAAGTAAACATTGAAAACTTTTAAAAGGCTTATACTTGATAGCACATAGCATTTTTGGAGGGTTTTTTAAAATGACTAAGCAGTGTACAGTGAGACCAAGGGGGCTCAAAATATTAAAAAGTATTGAATTAAAATCATAAATTAAATGTTAAAAAACAATTAAATACACGCTAGTTAAAATACAATGGAATAATTAAAAGCAAGTAAACATTGAAAACTTTTAAAAGGCTTATACTTGATAGCACATAGCATTTTTGGAGGGTTTTTTAAAATGACTAAGCAGTGTACAGTGAGAAGATGTGTGGATATTACATATTCTGAGTATCTGTGGTTTAAAAAAAATAATGGGTTTTTTTGTCTCCATTTTTACAGCCAGAGACAAAATCCCCTTAGAAGCATGATTTCAATAACACCGGTCTGGAATTAAAAAGTTAAAGAATAAGCTAATTGGGTCCTGATTGATAGATTCAAAAGTTCAGATTACCCCAAGCCTGGGGCTGATCTCCCCTTTAAAGACTTAAAATGAGGAGACTGTTTGGTCTCAGAATTCCTGACAGAGTGTTTAGAGAAAGTGCTAAAAACAAAACAGAACTATTATCTGTATTCCTCAGGTAAGGGGAAATAATTAGAATATGTCTTATAAAACTGTATGCTAATTCTCTGGAGAGACATTGCAAAATGTCCCCTTTTCTCCAGAGTTGTCACTCTACTATTTTCTTTAAAATAAAACAAGCGCGTTTTGTTTACTTTCTAAAGAAAACCTATCTTTTCAATTTGTTTCTATGACTTTTCTCTCCAAAAATCTCCCTCCCCTGCCAAGATTCACAATATTTGAATATTCACAATACTTAAGTATTCACAATATTAGATTTTGTGAAACCCCTGCTGAGTAGTCTTATAACAAAGTGGCTCCTCCACCTCTTTTGAGGACCAATATTTCAACCCCTGCAGCCTCAATTTTTTCCACATTTTAAAACAAAAGCAGGTGAGGCCAACCATTCTCTTTCAAGATAAGCAAGATTGGTCTCTTTAATGCATTTGATCTATTTTAAACCTACAGTGGTGCCTCGCTAGACAGTTACCCCATATGACATTTTTTCGCTAGACATCAGCTTTTCGCGATCACTATAGCGATTCGCAAAACAGTGATTCCTATGGGGGAATTTCGCTGGACAATGTTTGGTCCCTGCTTCGCAAACTGATTTTCGCTAGACGACGATTTTGACAGCTCCCTCCGCGCTCGCAAACAGGTGTTTTCGGGACCTAAGCTTTGGAAGACAGCAATTTAAACAGCTGATCGGTGGTTCGCAAAGTGGCTTTCCTATGGCCGATCTTTGCTAGACAACGATGATT